CCCCCCTATGCTGAACGCTCCCATGTTTTGCCGTGCATGGCGACCCGTGTCGGAGGAAATGTGTGTCCTGGCAGTTGAGGGACCTGTTTGTTTCCCAACTACTCCTTGTGCTACTTTCTGCTTTGCACTTAGGGATACGTTGTTCACCATGGGTAATCTGATAAATTATAAAATATCCTGAGTTGAAGCTAGATTGACCATAGGGGAATGTAAGGCCGCTTTCTGGAGAGCTTACATTTCATCACTCTCTAGCCGTATGCCTCCTAAAGTACTGTGACGAAAGGTTCGATAGATCAATGGAAGACTTCCTTCGCCGACTGTCTCAGGGCTTCTGGTAAACGGAAATCTTCTCACCTGACCAGAAGATAATAGTTGAAGAATTGGTCTCTCACTACGAGTAATATCACAGCATTCAACTTGGAGAGCCTGTGAAAACATTGCTCTTCGTTGATGACTTTGCCATATGCTTCTCTTCGAAGAACATACAAGTTATTGAGAGACAGTTCAGCTTGCCCTCAACAAACTGCAATAATGAAGCGATAAAACTGAAATCAAGTTCTCTGCCTAAAAATTAATTTACAATGCACTTCTGCAGAATTCATCTCTACACTCATCTTGATTGGAAGGGGGGTAAACATCTTCCCTTCATTGAATCTGCCATTTTCCTTGGCCTGACATTCGAAAAGAGTTAAATATGGTGAAAGCAGATTCAAAACTTGAAGAGCCAATGTGTATCACCATTGAATGTCCTTCTTCGCTTGTCCCCCTGGGGCAACCCCTTGTTGGGTAAAGTATAAATCTTGCAAAGGAAGTCATTCAGCTGGCGAGGATGATCTAGTGTTATAACTAAGAGCGGATTTAAATGACCTAAAACATTGCCAAAACTAATCAATAAAGTGCTCTCAAAATGCTTTTAAAATGTTCTCAAAACAGAGAAAAATGATTAAAAAATTGATCAAAACCACTTTAGAAGAACAACTCAATATGTTACTGATGTAATCGAGGCTTTGAAACTTTGGGTTTGGACTGTTCTTTAAAAGAAAATCTGCCTTTATTTATCGCGAAATCAGCCGTACTGACAATGGTGCCGATAAATGTCACAGGAATCGTAGATTACAACGGCTGACATTACAATATATGAGCGAAGAAATCAAATAGGTTACTGAGGAATTCTGTGGTGAACATTTGTTGCACCTCGTAAATATTGTTTGAAGCTAGTACCATTAAAATGATACAAAAATAGATCAAATCATTGAAAAATGCAGTCAAAACAACGTAGAAAGTTAAAAAATAACTTATTAGGTGAAAGCAACAAGAAATGCCAAACAATGACGTATAAAAATAGGTCATTTCATTCATCATAACACAAAATAAATTTCTTTACTAAAAGGCATTGTTCTAATGGGTGGAGAAAAAACAACAACAAAAAACATTTCATTAAAATCGGCCCCTTAGTTAAAACAAATAAATACTTTTCTTATTATTGGGTAGTTGTCCAGCATTTTTTATGATTTAGATTTATCATTTAAAAATGAAGAGAATCCAAATTCAACAGCTCAAAGGAGCTTTTATTTTGTTTCAATGAGGTACGATCCCTGGCATGGGAAGGGAGGCAAAACCAAGCCTATTTTGAACCCCTGCTCTAATATGAGAGCAAATGCTTAATTAACTCATTTTCCATTCAATAGATTTCTATTTGGGAAAAACTTAACTCTTATGAGCTCTGACAGAAATGGAATAAATGAATATGAAAATCTGATCTTAAAAATTTGTCATACACCTGAGTTAATTTTCATGATTTACAGTGAAAGATATGAATAAAAACATGGGCCGACTAAATAATGGAATTCCCCAAATTCCATACCATTCTGTTAATCATGAACTACTTCCATTTCGACAAGCATTGCCAGTCTGGGGCATGCGAGATGACATTGTACAGACAATTAGTAGTCATCAAGTTGTTGTAATTAGTGGAGAAACTGGTTCAGGAAAAACCACACAAGTGAGTGACATCTTTTATAAATTTTTTCCCAGAGATATTAAAAAGAATCCTTTTTACTTTCGCTTTTTGTTACTTGTCCACAGATCCCTCAATTTATCTTAGAAAATAGTCTGAATGTTGGAAAGGCATGCCGTATTATTTGCACTCAACCAAGAAGAATTTCAGCTGTTACTGTAGCTGAAAGAGTTTCAGCAGAAAGAGATGAGAAAGTTGGCCAATCTATTGGTTATCAAATTCAGCTTGAGAGTAGGTAAGATTGGTAGGATTAAAATAAAAAATTATTTGTTATCTGTGAAAATTATATCTGTATCATTATTTTTATGTTTCAAATAAATATCTATCAAATCTTTTATCTTTCAAGTAAGGCATCTTGAATCTTGTTATGAAAGTCTGTCCTTTTTCTGCTGGGAGGTTTCACTGTGCCTCTAAGACTTATTTTGCACTGAACATGAAATTCAGGAAATAAAAGGGCAGCTTTTTCTTGACTATTCACAAGAGTTTACAACTTTTTTTATGGAAGTTGGAGTTCTGTTGCTTCATTTTAATCATTGTATACCTTATATTTTACCCTTTGAAGGTATTTTCTTCTGTCAGTGTTATTCATTAACCTATTTTTATTTCCATGTAGGAAGGTTAAGACTGATTTAAGTAAATTATTTTATAGTTTCTCCTTCCCTACTTTATTATTTGCAAATAGTAGTATCATTGTGTAGTTAAAATCATAAAGTTAATTGCTTTAATTTATTTTTTCTTAATTTGACAGTTTTGCTGTTGTAAATGTTAAAAATAGTGAGTAAAGGTGAAATACTTCTAGCATGTTGAAACATACTTATTAAAATTCATCAGTAATAATTTGGTGGCAAAAAAGAATCAAGAATATTTTATACTTATGTGAATATTTTGGATATACAAAATACATTTGTATTAATTGTTAATTCTTTTTGCGAAGGGTTTCTCCAAAAACAGTGTTAACATACTGCACAGATGGTGTCCTCCTCAGAACTTTGATGGGAGGTGATTCTACATTGGCTACAGTCACTCATATTTTTGTTGATGAAGTTCATGAACGAAATAGATTCACAGATTTTCTTTTAATTGCCCTAAGAGACTCGCTGGCAAAATTTCGTTCTTTGAGACTTGTTTTAATGTCAGCTACTGTAGATACTCAAATATTCACAAAATACTTCAATAACTGTCCTATCATCTCCGGTAAGTATGAGTATTTCAGTACATTGAAGAAGCAATTTTATTGTATACATAAATTTAAGAATATATAACATTCCTATAAAGCGATTAAAATTGAAACACCCAGTAATGAATAAAGTGTAAAAAGGTGGGAGAGAAAATAAAAAGTTTGACTTTTTCTCCTAATTTAGTGCTGAGGTAGGAAACTGCAAACATAATAACTAAAGTGTAATTACTTGATAGAGAATGGTTTTGCTGTTGTAGAGGTATTGATATTTCATTCTCTACGAGTAAATCATTCACATTCACATTATCCTCCTTTCATATATTTGCAATTCTTTTATGATTGTACTTATGAAAATGCAGGTTGTTTCCACCTATAAGAATCTGGTTAATTTATTTTAGATATTTTTTAAAATCTGTATCAAGCCATTAATTCCAAACAAAATTTCCAGTACCCGGTCGTCTTTATGATGTCAAAGAATATTATCTGGAGCATATTTTGAAACAGTGAGTTTGTATATAGACATATGTTTTTCTTTTCCTTTGCTTAAATTAATACAGGTTTATTGTTGCTGAATATCTTTGCTTTTGCTACAGAACCAAATACATGAGCAAACAAATGGTGAAAATGAAGGCTGAAATTAAGAAGAAAAAAGAGCAACGGGCAAATCTTGAGAAGTGGACAAAGGTTTTTGTAGAAATTGAACCTGACAAGCAAATTAATCATGTGGAACATAAAACATTCCCATCACCTATTTTAGGACAGTACTCTGAGGTAATTAATTATATTTTATTATTAATTTCTGGTATATTTTGCAAGAGCACAGCTTTTATATTACAAATTATTCCTTTCGTATAAGGTAACGTCACCAAATGCTGACAGGTGAAGGGAAAAATTACTTTTAAATGGCAAGTCAAAATATTTACCATTCTTTTCAGATAAAGTTGGATATTTTGAGTTTAAATATTTTTCTCTACAAAAAAATCTTTAATTTTTCAAAACATTTTCTTTTTAGAAAAGAGAAACTAACACTTACCTGTCACCTAAACCTGGCTGGTTAATTGTTAGTTCCTAAAACTGACCAAAATAAGATTTCTAGAAATGGTCACTTTAAATTTATGTAGAGTATTATCCAAGTAGCTTAGATTAAGGTAGTAACATAGGACATACCATGTATTTAATCTATGTTACTTGGGTAAGTACTCTATATAAATCGGCAGAGCGGATCACATTCAGATAAGAATTCAGAAAACAGACGTTGGGAAATATTCATTTGTGAATCGCACAATTAGGGACTGGAACAGTTTGCCTGTGACAATCTTCGATCCCTTTCCTCAAAGCCTGAGCAAATTTAAAAATAAATTGTTTCTTGAATGTGGATATGTTATAAATATTATTAATAAAATTCAGTGCAATTACCTATGTCTTCTTACCTTATTATTATTATTATTATTATTATTATTATTATTATTATTATTTTATTATTTATATTATTATTGCAGTGCAGTGGGTGAAGTGCAGTGACATTGTGCAACTATCGCATTGCGGTGAAGTGTGGTGAAGTGGAGTTCTATGAAAGATTGCACGGTGAAATGTTCATGTGATTTTGATGTTTGTAGAGTTTGTATAGTTGTTAAGTTCTGTAATGTTAAGTTAGCTGTATTCTGCCACCAAGTTCTCACACTTAATTGCAGAATTATTAATAAATCTAATCTAAATCTAAATTGAAAGTGTTCATTTGTATTTTTTATTTCTGAATGTCTTGGTGTATTCTTTTGCTAATTTGTACGTGTATTTTCAATATTGTAGAGCCACTGATGATGGGATATAGTCCCAAAACATGTGTAGGGCTTAATTTTCTTCTTATTAAAATTCATATTGTAATAAACAACTTGTGGTTGATACTTCTGCTATCCTGAATCAATAATCATTTTATATTATGGACTAAAGAACAAAAACAAATTTCTTAAGAAATTCCTGAGGATTTCCATGAATTACCTGCTCATGTACACATGCCAAATTACATGTTCATTAAACTCAAAATAAATCACTTGATTGGAATTAATTTGACTTCTCCTGCCCCTCCTACTCCTTTTCCCTTCCTCTCCCCACCCGTCCACTCCCCTCCCCTCCCCTCCCCTCCTCCTCCCGCTCCTTCTCCCCCTCCACCTCCCCCTCCACCCCCCTCTGCCTGCTGTTCTTTCTCCTCCTGCTGCTCCTCCTTCTTCTCCTCCTCCTTCTCTAGTGCTACATCCCTTTCTGTGCTTTGACTTCATGCACACCATTCTATCTTCTTCTGCCTTCCGCTGTCTTCTTCCAGTTCTTCACCTTCATGTTGTTAAGGTCTTTCAACACCTCTTTCCGTCTTGTATTGGGACGGCCTCTCCTGTTTTGAGGAGAGGTTACCTTCCAATATCTTTTTGGACATTCTTTATTGTTATGTTATGTTCTAACCATCTGATCCTTTGTGCCTTAATAAAGGTGACAATATCTCTTCCTTCCTATATTAGATTGATGTCATCATTGTAGGTATATCTCCATATATCTTCGTCTTTGATGTTCCATATATTTTGCGTATTATTTTGCATTCAGGTCATTTGCGCATTTGAGAATGTTTCTACAGAATCTATCACAATCTTGCATTGATAACTGCTTGAACTAATAGGTTCTTTTTTTGTTTTCTAAAACAATTTCATCCTGTATCACATGTGACAATTTGATACAAGACAGTATGAGTCGATATTTGTTTACCTTTCCCAGAACTAAATGATCATTTTTAACTCTCTGCATTATTTTTGTTTACATTGTTTTGTGTGAGAAATATAATCCTTAATGATTATATTTTATAGGCTGTTCCAGAACGTACTGAGTTAGATAAATGGTTAATTCAGGAAATGGATCGGTGTTTATCAGATGCGTGGCTGTATGGATGTGATGACTCCTTTACTCAATTACTTCACCTTATATTATCTGAAAACGTGTCAGTGGATTATCAGGTACAAATATGGAGAATTCATATTAACAGTAGGAATACTTTATTATGGTGAATTCTTTAGTGATCTAAGAACTATACTTCTTCTATCCAGCACTCAGAAACATCCGTCACTCCTTTAATGGTTGCTGCTGGACGAGGTTGCCTCAATACTGTTGAGCAACTTCTTAATCTTGGTGCTAATATCAATGTACGTGCCTCAAATGAATGGACTGCTCTAGATTGGGCCAACAAAATGAATCATCCTGAGATAGTGGAATTATTAGAAGCCTACATGTAAGAAATAGGAAGAAATATTAGCTTAAGAAAACTTGTGATTACAATTTAAATTATGCATATCTATTCCATATTCTTTGTTTAATGCAGGCATTCAGAAGCATCATCTGTTAACATGCTGCCAGTTTCAAACACTGCTGAATTAGATGAAACAGAACGTGAGCTTTTGGATGTGTATCATCATAGCTTTAATGAAGAAAATATTGATATGGATTTACTTATGAAACTTTTATTTGATATACACTCTACACAGGAAAAAGGTTTGTGACATTCACTAATAATATCCTTTTTTTCAAAAATGCTTTATCTTACTTAAATACTTCAGAAATGTAAAAGTGGTTTAATTCAAATACTAGAGCATCTAATAAATAGCTCACTAATGATAGAATATTCCCAGATATTCTAAAAATTCGTATAGTGAGACCCCTTGACAAGAAAAGAAATTTAATTGATATAAATAATTATCAGCCCATCACATTCATATGAAGTTGTGCCAAACTTTTAAAAAAAGTTATATCAAAAAGAATCCATAAATTTATTGAATGTAAAATATCAAGTAAGTATTTTTATAGATCTATGAAAAGCTTTTGATACAGCACCCCACAATTTACTTCAAAAAATGGAATGTTCAGGGCTCAGAGGAAGTATAAATAAACTCTTACAATCATACCTTATAAATCGTAAGCAATGTACAGAATTTTTTTGGGAACATTCAGATGGTAAAATACAGTCAAAGTTTGATAAAGTAATTTCAGGCATTCCACAAGGGTTAGTACTTGGTCCACTACTTTTTTTATTATATGTAAATGATTTTCCCAAGATGAGAGATTGTAAATTAATATTATATGCAGAGGACACCTCAGTTGTTAGTAATGCTAAAGACTTAATTATAGTAGAGGAAGAAGTGGCAAAATTAATGGAACATATATCTTGCTACTTAGACATGAATAATTTAATATTAAATACTGCAAAAACAAATGCAATGTACTTTAATTTATTAAACTCTAAAATTTCAAATAACTATACTAATTTTGAGGTAAAAAATGAAACTATAAAACAAATTAAATGCTGTAAATTTCTTGGAATATGTATTGATGAAAGCCTAATTTTCAATAAACACATTAATGAAATAAGTAATAAAATAAGCTCTAATATCTTTTTATTAATAGTTCAGGAAACCCATGTCAACTGATACACACAAACAATGTATTATGAGATAATGCATATATTGAAAGTGGAATAGAAATATGGGGTAATACAACTATTCTAAACATTGACAGAATTATGATTCTACAAAAAAGAATCTTTAGATGCATTTTCAAACTAAAGGCTACACAATCATGTAAGAATTACTACACCACACACAACATACTGACTGTAATAAACCTTTATGCTTCTAAAATCATTGCTCTCTTCAGAAAGAAATCCAGCTCTCACTTCATTCGTAATAGTGAATTGCAGAATTATAGTACTAGAGGCAAAGAGAATTACAACAAGATATTTACATCTAGAGCCTACACATATATTAGCCCCCAACACTGCACCATTTTATTATATAATAAACTTCCTAAAAATATTAAAGATCTATGTGGAGAAAAGAAATTCAATGACTTTCAAAAAAGTATCTAATGGGAATGTGCCCCTATGAATTAAAATAACTAATTTAATAGAAAATGTATTAGTTTTGTAAATTATTTTGTATGTATCATAAGTACTTCTTGTATTTTCTTATAAATTGTATATTATGTTTTAATTTTTGTTTTATTTCATTTTGAAATTATTTATCTCAGGCAATGCTTGAAACTCATCTCTGTATAAGTCTGTTGGCAAATCAAAATTATTATTATTTTTAATATTATTANNTTATTATTATTATTATTATTATTATTATTATTATTATTATTACATCTACAGAATTGTACTGTAACGATTTTTCAGGAGCAGTTTTAATATTTTTACCTGGCTATGATGATATTGTTTCTTTGCGAGATAAAATCATGGGTGAGGACAAACGATTGAATGAATCAGGAAAATATTTGTTGTACACTTTACATTCTCACATGCAGGTAACAATATTATCAAATTTATTTCATGTAAAATTTTTAATATGTTTAAGCCTCCTGTGTATGAACCTTTTTTTTTTCTGGTATTATAAAAATATCATTATTGGTTGCAGACAGGTGATCAGAAACGTGTATTCCGACCTGCACCTCCAGGATGCCGAAAGATTATTTTATCTACGAACATCGCGGAAACAAGTGTTACTATTGATGATGTGGTTTACGTGATAGATAGTGGGAAGAAAAAAGAAGTAATTGAAGTTAATGGTGATTCTCTAGATCTTAAGACTAAAATTGTTCATGAAATTATTCTTTGTGTTTGTTTTTTTCCTGCAGAAGTCATTTGATGCTATAAGTGGAGTTTGTATGCTTCGCCCAGTATGGATTTCACAAGCTTGTGCCCAGCAACGCAGGGGTCGTGCTGGTAGAACACAACCAGGAATATGTTTTCATCTGTTTTCTAGTGTTCGTTTAAAAGCCATGCAAAAATACAGCACACCAGAAATCCTTAGACTACCTCTTCAGGTTAGTGCTCAATTTAATTATTGAATGAGAGTAATCTTTTGCTGAAAAACATTGTTTTGAGAATAATATTGTTCTTCGAATACCAAGGTTTAACAGTACAAAATATTCTATGAACTTGTTTTTCATATTGTCCAGAGAATGTTAAAAGTTATGTACAGTTGCCATAGTTATTAAGTGAAAAACTAGTGGTGAAAATAGCTTGTTCTTTCTCGTTATTAGAAATAGTTATGTAATTCTATTTATACAACAATTTTTTCTCAATTATTTTTTGTTAAACTCAGTAGTAATTGTAGAAAATTTGTTGCAAAAAATAAGCAGAATGCAAGAAAGTAAAATTATAAGAAGTTAATGAATAATACAATACTGATAGCGTCGGCAAGTAAATAGATCGAAAAGTATATAATAGTAATTATTAAACTCTAAGATATTGCAATATTCCACAAACATTTTTTTATTTTTTGTTATTATTATACAGACGAGTAAATGCATTATTTACAAAAAGAATACAATAAAAAATTTGCATGTAACAACATAATTATAAAAATAGAAACATTTATAAAGAAACACATTCAATAATAACATGAAAATATATCTGGTTTAACAGTAGCTCTATCATGCCTACTCATTGAAACTTCAAGATTTTGTTGCTCGCTAGTGATAAAAAAGCAGATTTATCCATTTCACATATATCAATATTCAAACTATTGACTGATTAGCAACATTGATTGAAAACATTATTTGCTGTGTAAGATTGATGGTGAAATCTAATATCAAAAATATCTTTGGTTCTAGAATTAATGTTTGGGGTTTTGTACCTTGTCTGATTTTGCAATCGACCTCTCCCAATATCAGTTTTCTCAAAAACAAGTCATTCAAGTCTTTCTGAAGAAAGTTGTGATTATAAGTGAAGAAATGTGTAATTGCAGAGCTAAGTCAATATATTCATGTTTTATATATGGATCTTCCAATCCATTGGCTGACATTCTGAGAATTTTGATTCTGTTATAAAATACTTTGTACCTGTTATAAAATAGCACAGTTCTATTAATTATTGCTTTTGTTACTGTAGGAAAAAGCATTTTTCTTTTTTATTTCTTGCCAAATATTTCTTCAAAATGAAGAACTATTAGTGTGGTGAAAGAAGCTATGTTCTCTGAATTAAGTCCATGTCAACAGTGTGTTGAAATTTTTAAATGAGAAAAGTACATCTCGTGAAAAAAGTACAAACTCATTTATTAGATATTAAACATATCTTAATTTTTTTCCATGATTGTGATTAAAAATTTGTGTGTAATGGTTTTGGGAATTACTAAATTCAAATCTTATGTTAGAGTGGTATTTGACTGTGAGGGTGGTATTTTATCAGAAAATCAATTATATATTCAAAATCAATTTGTTTTTAGGTCAGCAATATGGACAGTTGATCAAAATACCTAGTAGAATTTTCATTACCCTTTTCAAGGGTAAGGGGGATAATTGGGTTCCAAAATGATCCTATTATTAACAAAAAAAAAATTCTTCCTGGATTCAAAGCATTGGTGATAATAGGTTTTCAAAGATAGCTTTACATTGATTAGTAAGAAATTATTGTTGGCCAAGATTCCTTGTAAACATTTCAGCCTATTTGTTTTCTAAGTAGGACTTAAGAATTTCAACATAAGAAATAAGTTGTAATTTAAAATTAAGAAATGAGAAATAAGTTGTTTTATGGAACTTACTTTTATTTGAAATGCACTCATGTCTGTTAATAACACCTTGTTAAACATTGCCAAATACAATGTATTATTGCTATTTTCCATTGTTTGCAGGAATTGTGCTTACATACAAAACTTCTTGCTCCTGCTAATACTCCAATTGCTGATTTCTTGGCCCGTGCAATAGAGCCCCCATCATTTGTTGTCACACGAAATGCTGTGCAGCTTTTGAAGGTACATATCTCAAGTTATTATATTCAACATTGTTTAAAATATTAATTATATTATATTTTTGTTGTTTCTCAATATTTGCCCATGAAATTTTCAGACAATTGATGCTCTGGATTCATGGGAAGATCTTACAGAATTGGGTCATCATCTACTAGATTTGCCAGTAGATCCACGACTGGGGAAAATGCTTCTGTATTCTGTAGTATTGAAATGTTTGGATCCTGTTCTTACAATAGTCTGCTGCCTTGCTTACAAGTATGTTTGCATAAATTACCCTGATTTTTGAAAAGGTGTGAAAAGAAACTTGCTTTTTGTGAAATTGAAATGATTCTTATTTATGCAATTCTTTTTGTTATATTCTTAGAGATCCTTTTATGCTCCCATCTCAGCCTTCACAAAAACGTGCAGCAGCAATAGCTCGTAAAAAGTTTGCTGCAGGAACATATAGTGATCATATGTCTCTCTTACGTGCCTTTCAGGTATTCAGATTTATGGACTTTGTGTTTTGTTTAATGTGATATCATCTATTCAATTAAGATTAATTTTCATTTATTCTAGTCATGGCAACATGCTCGAGGAAATGGTTGGGAGCGATCCTTCTGTGAAAAACACTTTGTTTCTGCTGCAACTATGGAAATGGTAGTTGGTATGCGCTGTCAACTTCTGGGACAACTTCGAGCATCTGGTTTTGTGAGAGCACGGGGTGGTGGTGATATACGAGATCTCAACTCAAATTCAGAGAATTGGGCTGTGGTGAAAGCTGCTTTGTGTGCTGGTGACTACCCTAATTTGATTCGAGTAGATCGTGAACATATGCAGCTAAGAACCCAGTATGTAAAATATTTTAATACTTCAGAAAACTGCATTTATATGTTTATTACATATTTTTACCATATTGACAAAAACTAATTGAAGTTCATATCATTAAAACATTCTTTTTACATCTCCATGAAATGAAATATAAATTTGCATTTGTGTACGACAGGGAATGTTAAGTGATCTATAATATTCAGGTTTCTCTGTTTTATGCTGTCAAAAAGACAACAAAGATTTATTGTTGTTTGAGAAAGTTTGGTGTAATGCTTTTCTGTCAAAACATTTTATTAAATAGAGTGATTGGCTTCTTTACTGCTTCTGGGTTAGCAATTCAAATATTATGCGGTGGGCCCATCTGAAGTGCATACTGCAGCTCTGGGCATTTAGTGGTCAAATTCAAGAGCGAAGTTTGATGTGGTGGCAGTGACAGTAAAGGCAAGAGTGAGCCTAGAGGATGCAGCTTTCCAATAGCTAGGCACAGTGCAGAATATTTTAATCATGAACTAGGAAGAAGCAAAGAAGGAATTTTCTTGAAAACAAAAGTGTTCGATTCACCAAACTTAAAATAAAGAGAGAAAAAATACATGTTTTTTATTGAAGTTATAATTAATGACCACTAAATAATGTTTCATGTCTTTATATGAAATTTATTTTTCAATGTACTTTTAGTTATAACTTGAGTAATTTTAATTTATTTGCATTTTCTCTCTTCAGGAAGGAATTCAAAGTGGTTTTTCATCCTTCATCCATCTTGAGGGATTGCCCCAAAACTCCGCGTACTTCAATGGCTGCTTCTCATACAGCTTGTGTTGAGAATTTACCATCAGACTGGCTTCTTTATGAAGAGATGAGTCGGTCTGGACGATACTGTCATGCTCGTTGCTGTACACTAGTAACTCCCATCACAGTTGCCTTATTTGCAGGTCCAGCAAGAATGCCACTAGATGCAGTGTCAGAAGCTGAAGGTATTTTTTCTTAAAACCTAAAGTTCAAATGAAAAATGAATTTGAATTCAGTTAATGAAAAAATGCTCATAGTTCTGCAAACAGAAGAAGATAAATGTCAAGAAATTCATAAATTCCTTTGCAAAAATAAGATAAGCAAAAAATGGGGAAAACACAACAATTGTAACAAAACTTACTGCTGTTGTAAATCTTGGATTATTAAGCAACTATTTGAAACAAAATTGTTTGTATTTTGTTTAATTTAAATTAAATAATTTAATTAAGTATTTCATACAAAAAAAATGACCTCCACTGCATGTAGACTCCATTCTTGATTTACAATGCTTCAGAAATATTTATAAGAGTTTGTGAAAGAGGTTTTGAGATAAATCAAATATTGCTGTTATCAGAAATATTTTTTAAAGTTTATGACATGCTTCAAACTTGTGGAGACAATCCTGTTATCAGAACTGATCATTATCATGCGGTAACACAAGGACATTTGGATACTACGAAAAGTTAAAAATGTGAGAAAATATAAAATTGTAAAAAATTAAAATAATCCCCAAAAATATTGATTTAAGGATGTATAATTTGTTTAAATGCTAATTACAAAATATGTAAATGTTGGAACATAATTCAAAATACTAAAAACTGCCAAATCCTTTTAATATAATGCACTCGTTAGTTTATTGTTGCTCTAAATATATCTCCATGTTATTTCTTTAGTAAGCTTATAAATGAATGCAAACAGTCCATCCACAGTCCTAAATGACCTTTTTGTTTGCATTGTACAAACTAATAATAATAATAATAATAATAATAATAATAATAATAATAATAATAATAATAATATGGATTTATCACCTGCACTACTCTGCGATGGTGTTGGTGATGGAGTATCACTCACATTGCCACTTCCAAATGACTTCAAGCTCCAGAATCTGAACGTTCACCTACAATAATTCATCCACAATAGTTACAACAAAATCTTCTGATCTTATAACATAATCTAACTTCTTAATCATAATAACATAATCTGGCATTTTTAATTTCAAAACACCACACACACATACACTTTTTATGTTCCAACACTTAAAATTCATTCCAAATATGACAATAGTTAAGAAGAAATATTCAAGAATATTTTTCTAACAATTTTAAGATAATTAGAATGAAAAAAAAGCAAAGAAAATATGCTATCAATATGAGACCAATCATTTGAAAAATGCTCTCTATATCTCTTCTATATATATCTATATCACTTCTACATATATCTATATTCTCTTCTACTTATTTTAGATTGTTTAAATCCCTGCTTATTAGCACATGAGTTTGCAATGTTTAGTAATAATTGAGTTAAATACCCTGAAAACTGCCGAAAACAAAAATTACTGCAGTACAATGTTTTAAAAAATATCATGTGTTTGAGCTGGAATCACAGGGAAAATAAACGGAACATTTTGAACGAGCAATTTAATTCTTTCTTCAAATTTTCCAATGTTGTAATGATTAACGAAACTGTGATAAAAAAAAATCCATTAAAGGAATGTTAATGACTGTTATATAACTATTTAGGAGTTTTAATGATCTTTTTAAAAAGGTTTCAGTACAAGCAATCATTCTATTTATTTCATTTTATTGATGTATCCATCTTGTGAAATCTTTTCCAAAAAACTACATCCGCGGTCAAGGAGTGTAAAAATTGTTAATATGTCTTTTTCATTGAAAATTTTTCTCACATAAAAAACACAAGCATGAGAATAGGTTGATTTCTCCGACCCAATTGGCCAGGTGAAGAGTCAATACGTTAAATCTGTCAATTGCCTGCCTGAGATGGTACCATGGAATACCTCAGCAGTTCCCCTCAACCAAGAAAAAAAATGAAGAGATGGGCTTATGGGCTTACTTCCAAAAGTCGATGAGATGGAGTATGGCACGGGGTAGAGGGAGACAAGTCATTGTTTTGAGAACGCATGTACAAAGGAGGCTTAAAAGATGTCAGTGAGGGCAGGGTACTATAGCGTTCACTAGGCTGAAAGTCCTGATTCAAAATGTGTTATTGATTGAAATGATAATTATTCATTTTAATTTTCATTCTTGATTGTTGAAAAAAATATTTCTGTAAAATGTACCTTATAAGTGAAGTATTAATTTTTTATTGAAATATTAAAAACATGTCAATTTTACAATATTCAGAAAAAAATTAGGCACTCAGAGAAGAAAAAAAAAAGTTCTTCTAAGTGAAAACAACTAATGACTGCTGGTCATTTGCAGCAGCTACAAATTTCAAACGTGTTTGAAATTCAAATTGTCACTCCTAGCTACATGTAGACTTAGTGTTTCTAGACATTCTCGACATACTAATTTCTTTCAGTTTTAATTTCTCCACTTTATCTGATGCTCACTTAGGACAAAACTATATACGTACCTGAATCTCTATATGCTAACTAAAATTTACATTCTACAACTTGATCAAAATTAACTCACTTTCAGATAAAACTTACCTTGGTCAGACATCTTGGAAGAGAAATTCTAGTTTACGTTGAGGCCTAAAACGATTCTCATTGTTGCCAACCATGTAAATTCATCAGATCCATCAGATGGAGGCTACAACCTAACAAAAACTTATGTGTTCAGGATAACAACATTGAAAATTTCACTAAAAAGAAGTTTCAGGTTAATACATTCAATCCTATTTAAAAAAAGTTCAAAAATGGATTAGTTCACGAGATGTGGTGGAGTATAAACAATTAGTTTGCTGACATTTCAAATCTTTTAATTCATCATCAGGGGCTAATGTACAAAAAACAACAAGGCATGAAGACATCAATATACAAACACAATACATAATAATTCGATATTATAATTCTACTACAATTCAGTTGTAGGATGAAAAGCTCATGTTACAGCCACTCAACATGTGTATCGGTCAGGCAAGTGTTTAATTAAATGAGACAACTCAAAACTTTTTCAACAAAAACAATATAATTAATTGTTTATACTCGGACCAAATCCCATGAACTTCAGCCCTCATTACATAATGATCACGAATTCTACAATGGGTAAAAAAATTTACTAATGGAAATTAATACTGATTAGAAGTACAAATTAGGTCATGAGTTGTCTTAAGATACACTTCATCATAATATTTATCAAATTAAAATTAAGTGTAGAGTAAGAATACTGTTTTGTGGTACCTGGTGGATATGAATCGACTGACATCGTCTAGGACGCTGTCCAATTCCTACGGGTTGTTGGAGCAAGACTTTGTTCTTCTGCAGTCAAAACCACTAATTACTTGTTTTCACCACATGTTCATCAACCTACAATAAGATTAATTTTCAGCACTTTTAGAGGGATCGCCTGGAAACTTTTCAATACACACTACTTTTGTAGAATATTTTACATTTTAATGTGTTTGGTATTTATTTGTCAGCAAATCTTCAAGTTTAAAATTGCCCGATTTTGCGACCTTAAAATAAACCTTTTTATCAAAATTGAAGAACTTTCAGAACCTTTAAGGATAAAACAATTAAAACAGAATGTTACTGCTGTTCACATCTTTAGAAATGATAAATATGAAAATATTATTAGTGGATTAATATGATTGTATTATCAAGGAAACCATTGCGCAAATAAGTTACAAGATGGATCACATTTGGTCTTTTACACTGCAAAAAATAACACTAAGACAAAATTTGGTGTCCCAAAATTTATTAATAGCAAAACGTAATTGTTTATTGAATTGCATTTGCAAATAATTTGTACCTGAGACCAAGGTGTTCGCAGGAGCTCTCATACGACGCAAAAAACAATGAATGCCACTTTTGACGCAACTGCAGAGCCAAATGAGCAGCTTCAGCATCCACCCGAAACACCACCCAGTCATCCAATTTCAATGTTGTTGTCTGTCCACAGGGACGATGCTCTTACCTCACTATCACTATCTGCTTCTAACGCTCCTTCACCTCGATACACTGAAAATGAAATTCATTAGATGATTTAATTAAAAAACAATTGTGAAACTTTTGCTTGGCATCAAAATTATAACTAGCTTCATTGAACCAGAAAGTTAACATGATAAGAGAAATTTGAAGAAAGGAAGCATAATGAACAATAGTATCCCATTTGACACAAAGGATATGAATATTCTATCAACAGTTACTGTAAGTTTGAGTGAAAATCAGATGTGTCACTTTAAGCCAACTCACCCTTCAATAAAAAAAATGAAGAAAAAAAAAATTACTTATTACTAGGCCAATAGTATTTGGCAAATATAATAGAGGTATCAGGAAAAACAAGCATTAGAGATGAATGTGAAAGGTGGGGTTAGAATTGCTAACAAAAAGTAGTATTGGTCCATTTTATGGATGACAGACTTACATGTCCATAATGGAATATAAGAGTTAAGCTGGAATCAAGCAACCACAGCACAATCCAGATGAGAGCAGTGGATCTCAAAATTTTCAGAATCTTACTTTTAATTAGAAGCGGATCACACTTCCTGATCAGAGTCAGGAAGTAAAATCTCACGAGATAGAACATGATGGAATTCAACATCAGATGTAAGACCCACAGAAATAGCTGATATACTTCAATGAACACTTTTCCAAATTAGTAAAAGTTAATCTCTCAACACTCTCTAAACAATAAAAACACACCAAACAAAACCTAATATTACATAAATTGTAAAATTCCATATTCTTATATGAAACCACCCCCTCTGAATTTTTAAAATTATTGGGACAATGGAGAATAATTCTTCAGCAGCATGGACAACATTCCAGCTTTCTTTATAAACACAGTGCTCCATGTATAGTGCAACCACTTTCTCACATCTGCAATTACTCTCTAAAATCAGGCATATTCCCAGATATATTCAAAAAAGTAAAAATTAAACCATTGTTTAAAAAGGCAAAGTTATGATCCAATGAACTACAGACCTATCTCCCTGTTATCAGGATTTTCAAAAATTCTGGAAAGGCTTTTCAATGACAGACTCAAACAGTTTCTCAATGCAAATAATGTCCTTACAAATGCACAACAGTGCTTCAGAGTAATAGATCCACAGACACAGCCATCTTCTCCTTTTTAAATGACATACTTGTAGCACTAAATCAGAAGGAAATTCCCATTGGCCTTTTCTTAGATTTGTCAAAAGCCTTTGACATCATTGACCATCATATACTTTAAGAAACTAGAAATGCTAGGGATTTGAGGCATTGCAGCCAATGGATCAAATCATATTTATCCAAACCATAGCCAAATAGTTGCCCTCAACACTCTAAAGAAAACAAAATCTCCTCATACTACTCCTGTCCACAAAAATAAATTGTGGAGTCCCGCAAGGATCCATTCTTGGGCCAATACATTTCTTATAAACATTAAATGACATCCCTTTGGCTTTCAGAACAACAAATAATTTTGTGTGCAGATGATACAAACATCATCATCAAAGCAAAAACACAACAATCATAGAAAAAGAAACTCACCAAAACTTTGCAAGCACTAGTAAAATGGTTTCAAGGCAACCAAAACTCATCATAAACACCAGCAAGACAGTCTCTCTAAATTTCATGAATCTTCGATCTAAAGAAAACTCTCACAGCATTTGCTCATGAACAATAACCCTGTAACGATATCTCATGAAACTATCTTCCTCGGACTAAAAATTCAAGAACAACTTAAAATGGAACACTCACATCTCAATCTCAACCAAGAAGCTCACAAATCTTACTATGCCCTATACACCCTCAGGTCAAGCTCCAACATTGAGACACTTCGAACAATGTATTTTGCAAATGTGTACTCACACCTAAAATATGGAATAATATTCTGGGGAAATGCCCCTGAAAGCACTCGCACATTTATTATCCAAAAAAGAATATTGCGAACAATGACCAGCACCCATAAGCTGAAGTCTTGCAAAACCCTTGTTTAATAAACTAAGGATTCTTCAACTACCATGCATGAACATATTGAAATAGTGGTCTTCACAAAGAAAAATTCTGCATGGAAAACAAAGACACTTTTAACTTTAAATTCTGATGGGACACTACAACACCGTCAAAGGATAACCTACACATTCCCCACTCTGAAACTACACTTTATCAAAAAAGTACCCTAATAGAGGGCATTACACTTTACAAACAAAATAGGCAATGATACAAAGACATAACACAATTCATACATTTAAAAGTAAATTGAAAAGCTTTCCTGCTTAACAACATGTTCTACAGTGAAAGGAATTTTCAAATTACAACATTTTCCTTAAAAAAGATAAATAAATAAGAATTCTTATTCCATCAGACTTCTGTTTCAAGTTGCGGCAAAGAAAAAAAACTGCATATCGCATCCTGTGAAATAGAAGGAGAATTGAAGAAGAAGAAAAATGGCAAACTTGCCTCGCTCACCAATTTCAAGTTATAAATATAGAATGTTTACTACTATTGTTAAATTTGATATAATATCTTAATCTAAACTGGAACAAGTATTGTAAATTTCTAGGCCAATGACCCCATCTCGATCGAGGTTTTCGTTCAGGTTTTCCCTGGTCCTTTGAGCAAATCTTGAGATGGCCCCCTGTTTTGCTCGCGAAACAGGTAAATGTATATTGCACTCTCTGCCACCCAAGGCAATCATATTGACTTCGTCATTCACGATTTGTAATTGTATATGTGACTCAATAAAATATTATTGTTGTTGTTGTTGTTGTAATTTATTATATTAATTATTATTATTATTAATTATTATTATTATTA